TGTTTTATGTGCTGCAGAACAGGAACCTGCTGTAAAACAGCAATTATGCTGAGTCAGGCTTGATTTTTAATAATATTTTCCTGTTAAAAAATCATATACTCAGTCCTATTAATTATTAACTAGGCTCCTTTTGTATAAAGGACTTTCACAAGCGCTTGTTTTTCAGAGAACTGTGAAGGGTGGGGGTGGTAATCATGCACTTGCCTGCACATTCAATCCAAGAACAGAAGCTTTTATTATATATGTATATAAGTTCTGGAGGCGTATTTGTTTAAATCTGTCCACCACATGCACACATGTTCATTATTATTATATTAAACTATGCATGACCTACTTCCTCTGCCGCCAACAGAAACAAGAGRTGTGGAGGTAGACAAACTACCTTTTTTTACATTTTGTTCATGTTTTTACCTTTAAATTCATCTCTAGTTTTCATTTATTAGCACACGGCAGCGCATTTCTTGGCATCAGCTTTATTTTTATTTTTTAATATAGGATGCAAAACATCAGGTATGAGACGCGAGCTCGAAAATGTATTCACCTGCTTACTCAGTTTTGTCCATTTTATAACATTCCAGGAAGAAGAAAATAAGCTAGATTCATACATCTTCTTTGTGTCCTTTGCGATGGAAAGAACCTGTGACCTCCACATATTGCCTTGCTTCAAAGGCAGGCAGAGGAGAAAGCTCTGTAAACCCACACCATCTGCGTGTCTCTGTTAGACAAGTCTCCTGACGTTTGTCTCATCTTTCTTTCCAACAGTTAAAAAATATCATTGCTTCAGCGTCATACTGCAATCATGAGTGTTTAAACATAAATTAGAAACAAGCCAGCTTCGTGGTTTTCCAAGTATTTTGCACACCTGATTCAGTGATTAAATTACCTCTTCAAATTCTGCAAAAGCCTTTGAATCACCCAGTCATTCATATCAGTAGACTTTTTTTTGTCTTGAAACTTCTTTTTTTAACTATATAATAATGATACACACAGATGCAATTGTGTGTGTGTGCGTGTGGTGACATTTGGGGGCAATTTCAAGACAAAATGTCTACATTTGGGGACAACTGGTGCATTTGGGGACAAAAGTTGAGTCCCCATTTGGTTTAAATGCCATTGGTGGGTTGGGGGTTGGGTTTAGGACCAAGGTGTGAATTGAGTTTAGGTTAGTTTTAGGGTCAGGTAGGTACCTGTGAGGTTAGC